CCTATTCACTTGATTGAGCTTTTGTTCCTTAATTTTTTCGGCATAAATCATAATACGTGAAATATTCATACTTGGGATGAGCATTGTCGAACGACATTTACTTAATACCAAGTCCGATACCCCCGTAATAAATTTGTTCATCTCGGCCCTAGAATACGGAACCAATGTAGGAGCATACTTGGATAATTGAATGAACTTAAGTACATACTCTTTCACACTCAAACCCCCTTGCCTAAAATTTAGAACTCTTGCATCTTTCGTTTGTTCAACTCTAAGGGGAATAAATTATGAAGGAAGATTCACTTGAGAAATTCCTAATCCACCGGGCCTGCTCCCACATGTCTCCCACCCTTCCATTGCTCATACCAAACTTGAGCCACACCCTTCAATTGGTAGGCGTCTAGTTCTACCTTCACTTGGGAAGGCACCCCCATAACATCAAGCAACTTAAACACTTAATCAATAAACCCTTGTGGGTCCTTCTTCACTTTGGAGCCATAAAATATAAGAGGATCCATTCTAGTCAAATCCCTTATCCTTGAAGCGGTTGTACTTTTATTGGGATTACTGGAGTTCTAGCATCTCTATTGACTTGGGATGTTACATCTTGGGTCAATACTTGGAAATTCGACCTTATTTCCACATTTTTCATTGCCCCCACATCATTACGGCTTGAGAAACTTGAGGCTCTTGTGGACCGTGGGGAGGAACTCCATCATTTATAATCTCCTCTTCCATCCTTCTTCTAGTCTCTGTTCTTGTAGTCATATCCTATATACATAAGATAAGGGTTTAGAGAAGGACTTTATATAGTTAAAACTCCAAGGCACGACCAAAGATTAATGAAAGAAGTGAAAGTTCATAGGCATCTTATAGCCTCTCATTCATAAGTATGGCGCGCTTCACACTCATGTAAAAGACTCCAATAGACATGGTTCATGAGACATCATCCTAAAATCATTCTAAACCTTGTGCTATGATTACCAAGTTTGTCATGACCTAGGGGAACGCTCTAGATGCAACACGACATATTCGACCCCCAAGGAGGCTCATACAAAATTTAAAACTTTTTCTTTTACAATCGAAATCATTTCATAAATCGAATGGAAGTCTACACTTTATCTTATAAAAACATTTAATACAATCAAATGCAATATTAGGGTCACAACCCTATATACAACATAGTATCAAAAATAGAAATTAAGAGATGAACTAAAATGAACAATCCATCCACGAACTTGAGGACTCACCAAGGCAAGGAAAGAACTGGATCAAAGCCTTCAACCAAAGAAAAACAACCTCAATGATCGGGACCTATACTTATAGAAAAGGTAGGAAATATGGGTTAGCATAATAATGTAATAAGTATGGAAGCCACACATAGAAAATCCTTAAAACATGCATATAAGGGACATTTAGTTGAAATAATGCATTTATCAAGTTTGAAAGCCATCATGCTTATTTGTGAAGAAACATAAGTCAAAAACCATATCATAAGCAACCCAAAGCTATACTAGTGCAATGCAAAGACAAGAGCCCATAACCTTACCAAATGCCAAGTACCATGTTTATATCACCAACATTGTACATATCATACCTTAACTTCATTCATAGCCAATGCTCGTATACAAGGGAAGCATTATAACTTGTAGCAAGTAGAATTATCCTTAAAAACAACACATATCATACATACATAATTCATAAGTTTTCATAGCATAAGAGAATCTTACCACTACCACTCTTGAAGCTTACTTGTGCAATACACAAATAGAGTCCCAAAACCCCACTTATACTAAGTAATACCTCTTAAGAAGTCATTGTTATAGTTCAGGTTCTTGTCATATTCATATATTCTTATCATATAGAGAAATATGACCTTAACTAATATAGACCATATTGAGCTACATTGAATTCGTTGTCTTACCCCTACACCGAAAAGAGGTGTCCTACTTTCCTATGGTAGAACTAACATAATAGCTTTTAGGTGGATACACTAACTAAGGACCTATGTGGGCATATAGTTATCAGATAAGAAGATTGCTACTAGAAACCCAAACGTTCTAACGTAAAAGATTTCCATCTCATGAGATACTTACTTTGGAAAGCCAGACTTTCTAGTGTAAAAGCTTCCATAACATTTCATATCCACTCGCTGCTAAACATAATTCACTTTAAAATTTACATTAAGTCTTTTCTTAAGTTTATGTTCAAGTAAGAATACACTGAGCACTCAAACCAGCATAACATTATAATAGCTCATGGATTCATTAGGTGAGAATTCTTTCAACCTTAGAATCATCAACATGTGAATAAACCTTTCATATCTTATTCATAGTGTGTTCATGAAAATAACCTTTCAATAAACACAACAAGCTTACCATATTCATAATTATTCATACACGATCATGTGTGAGGGTAGGGGAATTGTAAGCTCATACACAATTCTCATAAAGATGTACAAAATCTCATACTTTGCCCTTCAAGGGCCATAAATTACAATCAACATAAACATATACAATTCATGATTCAATAACTAACTCACCATAAACATAATCAATAATTCACATGTTTCTACTATCAACCAACTTACATCATCAATTCATACTTTATCAATTTGGGGGAAACGTGGGTCCATGGGGAAATTTCACCATCAATCAACAATACTACTTTTAATTCAACTATAATTCTTCATATCCAACCATAATAAACTATAAATTATAACCAATTGAAAACGTTTTGGAAGAAGATCCATGTCATAAATTGAAAACCCTAGGTTTGAGGTAAATTGATATCTTGAAACACAACTTTGAAGGGACTCTATGAGTGGAAACTATCCATAGAAAAAGCATCCATACCATGACTAAGAAACTCCAAGAAATTTGGGGAAGAACCTTTCAAATCCGCAAACTGTAGCTTCAATGGTTCCTTTCTTATTCTTTGAGTCTAGAGATAAAAATATTGAGAGAAGAGGGAGTTTTTGATTTGATTTGGGTGTTCGAGTGTAATGACTGAAGTTAGGTGAATTTGGCTTAAAATCAACTTATATAATAACCTTAAAAATACCCAAAACGAACTCACTTGATTGGACCAAAAAGGAAATGACCCAACTAACCTTCATTTAAGTCACCTCGTCAAGGACCACGACCCACCTTCACGAGCCGTGGTGTGGACCACGATCCGAGGTCCCCCTCATTAAGGTGAGCAGTTTCCTTGATTTTGGAGCACAGGCTCCTTTGCCTAAGGCATCTTTACGAGCCCCTTAATGATCCACAGTGTGCGGTAGCTAGGCTATTTCACGCCCTCAAGCTAGCATGCCTAAGTTTCCTCTTCGAAGGTCTCCACGAGCTGTGGTCCCTTTCGTGAAGTTGAGCAGTGGCTATGCCGAAGGATGACCATTATTCCATGGACAAGTAAGCTTCATGATCCCTCTTCAGAGTCATGGTGAGGACCACGATCCGTAGTCTCCCTCGTGAAGGGTGAGGCAGTGTGCCTAGGCTAGGGGCAGCCTTGGCCTCTGGCTTTGGCTTGATCCCTTTGCCTTGGAACTTGCCTCTTGTCTTTGACCCTTTTAAATCTCATTTCAACCTTAATTGACTAATCAATATTTAGGGAGTCATTTTACGGTTTTTAACCTTTACGTTAGGCTTAACCTATCATTTTTCTGGGGTGTTACAACTATTTACCTAGAAGATGACTTTAATACAAATACAACCTCTAATTGAATGAATGGTGACTAATATATCATCATGGACTACTAAGAAACTGCCATATGCTAGGAGAGTACAACTGGTCCTCCAATCATTACTCTTTGGTATTCAGGCATACTGAAGTCAACTTTTTACGATCCCTATAAAGGTAGTGAAGGCCGTTGAAACTTACTATATGGTCTGGAATTAATGTGATAACGAAGACGACCTTGGTGTCCTGGGAGAGAGTTTGTACCGCCTAAATTCATAGATGGATTAAGTGTCATCAATATCAACTTATGGAATAGAGCTGCAATTGCCCAAAAAAGAATCACTGGGACCTAGCTCACAAGTTGGATAAGTTATGGATAAGGTGGATCCGCTCTTATTAAATAAATTATCAGGATATTAATTCTATGCCTCTTCCACAACAAGCTTCCTGGATGATTAGAAACATAATTGAAGCGAGGACAATGATATATACCAGAGTCAAATAATACCCAAAGGAACAAGCATCATTACCGAGTAAATGTATATCCAGCTTATTATCCAACAACCAAGAAATGATTTATGTTTAAAAATGACGCAAGTGGCAAAGCCATATTCACTATGTGACTGCAGTTTCAGAATATATTACTCACAAGTGATAGACTATTGATTGAGGAATGGATGTAGAAAAATCTTGTGTATTTTGCCATGGACATGATGAAAGTAGAGATCATTTGTTTGTTGAATGTTACTTCATTATAAATGTATAGAGGCATGTTACTGATGTAGCTAAAGGGTCGACCATAAAAAACAATGACATGACAACAAAACTTAACTTAGGTAATGAGGAATGCAAAATCTAGGACAGTAGATGCAAGGATTTTTAGAATGGTTTATGCATGCTTGAGACAATCTATGGAGTATGAGGGGAAAGACACACCAAAAAGAAATTATATGTTCGCTCAAGTCACAAGTATGTTAAATTAGGCCACATAAATGAATATAAAGTTCTAATAAAAACAACAATTGAAAGGAAAATAGTTTTTCTTTTTCTTTTTAATTAAATATATTTAAAAGAGTTGTACTTAGAAAATAGGCAATTGTCTCTAGACAATATCAACTCATGTGATAATTGTGTTGTCAAAAGATATCAAAAGTATGTATCTCATGTTGTGATTGGGAAGACAGAAAAGTGAATGACTACTTAACCCTTAAACATCCATCAAATGTTGACAAATTACATATAATTGATATACTTCACCCGTTAAAAAAATAACTTAGTTTGACTTAACATGGAGTTTAAAAAATAAAGAAGAATTTTAATCTTGTGATCCTAAATTAAAGTTATGTCAAATGTATTAAAACTTAAAAATATTTTTTAATCTTGTGGCCTCTAAAATTGTGTTATGTGGAGATCTGAAATTAAAGTACTGCCAAAAGGAAAAAAAATTGTCTTTTCTAAATGGAGGGAGTATATATAAATATAATTACTTGAGTTTTTAGCAAAATTATAAAGAAAAACCAAAAAAAAATAAAAATAATATTGCATTTCATGGAGAGGTCGCATAATCTTAGACATGTCCTTTCACATACTAGCAAAGGATATGATAGGATAAATGTGATTCCTTAATTCTTAATTAAATGTTTTGTATTCGATCCTTGAGAATGGAGAAGCTTTGATCAGAAGAGCTTCCCTCATTTAATGAACTCTATGTGAGAAAACAAATTTAAATTAATCTTGCTAATATATTAGATATATATAAATTAAGATCTAGTGGAATGTATGTAATCCGTGTGATCTAAATAAGAGGTCTCTTATTTGCGCATTGAGAGTAGAGAAACACTCTTATTAGGAGTTATCCCTTGAACATGTTGATAAAAAGAAGAGAGAGAAATAATTTTGTTTTAAGAAGTTTTAAACTTTATTATACCAATATTTAAAAGACTCGACTCAAAATAAAATAAAGGCGAGGTGGGGAGAGATGGATATGACAAGAAGGACAACTAAGATATTCATAAAGAAAAACATCATTAAAAACCTAAGTTTGGGAGAACACCACTAGCTAAACACTTTTAGGAGCTATTTCACGCCTTTGGTCTTTTGACTATATTCTAGAGTTTTAATTCCAAGTCCACATTTTGATCTTTGTCTTCAATATTTTCAAAATTGAAGGACTTGTCCAGTTGCTTGTTAAAAGGCTTTGTGAAACCAAATAGGTTCAACTCCTTATCATTGTACGCTTGACCCTTTGAATGTGATTCTTCAATCATTGGACGAAAACTAGCATGATCATTTGGTCTTGAAGCAAATTGAGATTGTATAGAATTTAACTTGAAGGGTGTTGTCCTTGACACAGGGTAACCTGCAAACCAATAGAATTTTAGTTAAATATTTCTATATGAGCTCGAAAAAAGAGGAACATTTTGATAAATATTGTTTTAAGGAGTGTGATTTGCTAATCGAACCAAAATGAATCTCCATCTTCAAAATTAATTTACAAAATTTTTTATCGGAATCACTTTTTCATATAAGGAACTTTTAAAATAAAGTAGGAACTTAAAAATCCTCTTCCTCTTATAAAAAAGGTGAATTATCGAACGAACCTGAATAAATTATCTCCCTTAAAGAGAATGGAGAAACAATCTTGGAGAAACATTCTTATTAAAAGTAAATTTTCTTTTAAAAAATGTTTTCAAGTAAACCAATAATCAATTTTTTTCTCTACTTAAGAAATATGATTAGCCATTCAAATTTAATTAATTGATTTTCTAAAAGAGAATATAGAAAACACACACTCTAGTTAGAATTGCTTCCCTTGTAAGGAAGTTTTCACATAAACTAAGAATTCAAAAGATCATCTTTCTTAAATAAAAGAGGTGATTTGCCTCCATGTAGAATGTTTTTCACCCAAAAATATAGAAGGGAGAAACAACCTAGTTAGGAGTTATTTCCTTTATAAGGAAGTTCTTAAGCAAATTAAAACACCAAAGTTTTCTCCATCAAGAGGGTGATTTAGTGTCGAATCAAAATGAAAAATCCTTGGTCCTAAAAGAGGTAACACAAAGAAATTGACTTGACACAAATAGAATTAATTGGCAAAATAAATAATGAACATCGATTTATTACACCAAATTATAATAATATTTAAATTAATATATTCATGTATGATCTTACCACTTCGTTGTGTTGCGACCACATAACCTGCTCTTCCATGAACTTCATCGAAGTGATAAAGCAATGGAAGAGCATGAAGAAATACCTTGTCGCATACTCGACAAGCAATGAATTTAGAATGAGACACCATTTTTTTCTGCAGAAAGAAACTTGATGATGATTATTTACCGAACAAATGAAAGAAAAAAATTATGTGAAAGATGATACACTTATCGGTGTGTTTATATATGCAAAGAACGAACCTGTCCAATTAATTTTTATTTTTACATCATTGTGATCTAGTTTTCTTGGAAACATAAAAGTTAGACTTTAAACTAGACTAAATTTGTCGTTATTGTATATTATGACATGCAGTAATTACAAAGTAGAATTTTTGAGAAAAATGAAAATTGTGTGAACTGTATTGTCATATTAGCTATTAAAGAGGAAAAGAAAATTGGTTTCTAATTTGTCGGATAGTAAAACAAATTGAAATGAAAATTTATTCACTTAAATCAGAAATTATTATTTATTGTTGGGATAATGCACAAGTACCACTCAGTCTATGTCCGAAATCTCAGAGACCTATTACCCCCTGAACTTATTTTATTAATAATTTCTACCCTTTTTCGACCTATGTGGCACTATCTTGTGTGTCCAACGCTGGTTGACATTTTTTTCAAGCTAATGCCACGAAGGCTGAAAACCGGTAGAAAATTAATTATAAAATAAGTTCAGGTGGGTAATAGGACCTTAGTATAATATAAGTGAATTTCGGGCATATGTTGAGGGGATACTTGTGCATTTTCCCTTTATTATTTGAATAGCTATTAATTTTCTCACACCCTGAGGCTACTCCCTAGGAGTAACTCGCGACCTAGGATCACAAGTAATCCCAAGCTTACTCTAGTCTGGCCTACCATAAGCATACTTAAATATAACTAAGAAAATCATGTAATATGCAAAATCTGAAAACAATGGATAAATGAAATTGGAAAAAACCAATAATTTGAACATGTAAGATATAATAAGAGTTTAGTGATGACTGAAATAACACTTAAAAACTCGAGCTGAATCAATTACTATGCTTGAAAAGCCTTTAACTGAATTGAGTAGTTAATACATGCCTTAGCCAACTCCAATAGGACTGAAAACGTAAAGAAAGACGAAAAAGTAAAGCATGCCTATTGTCCCCGAAGTATGAGGATTCACCACTAAAGTTGCTCAATTCAGAATGGAAGCGAACTAAGTATGATCTGGAGTGCTGGATGCTGGATGCGTGAACCTACATCATAAAATGATGTAGCACAAAAATCTACGTCGATACTTTGAATATATCGAGCATGCAAAATATAGATATGCTAAGCTAAACAATATACCTGTAAGATTAATAGAGAAATAAGCTGAAGTATAACTGAAAACTAAACTTGATGCAATGACCAAGTACTAATCTTGAAGATAACATGCTGAACTGTATATTGATGTAAATACTGAAAACATGGTCAATGCAATATGAGTCTGATTAGGGAACTACTATTAACCATATAAACCTTGTGAGCTAAACATGGAGTCCAATATATTTGTCCCATCGAGAAGAACAATATACTTTCCAGGAGTATACAGATATCTAAGGCGTGATCACAAATCTAATGCCCAACTAAGAGGAATTATAAACCTCTACAGACTCGTAGTTCAAAGACTTTGAGGGTATGTCTCGGTGCTAAATCTACTCCCAAATGAATATCCAGGATGCTAAAAGGCACGAAATATTGAATAGCTCAAAACATGCATTGACATGTTAACTGAGAAAGCAACATTTATTTACTAAGAATATGACATCTGAAATCTGAAGCATGAATTTCTGTTTGTTTGGCCTAGCATGTATAATTCATGAACTAGGATAAATTCACACAAGATAGGGTTCTGTGTGCTATGCACTGAATTATACTAAATTATAAAAAAAAAACAAGTTATTTAGATCAAAAGAACCATAATCACAATAAATTTTGAAAGTTTAAAAACCCTAAGTTTGAATAATTTATGAGAATCTGAAAAAAAAAACTGAATTCTAGAGTCCTGATGGGTGAAACAAATTCACTAGTGAAATTTCACATACTTGGTGATGAGAACTACAGATAAATCCTTCGAATTTTGGGTCTGAATCTCGCAGAACAATTCTACTTGTTCTTGGGAAAACTGGTCAACTCTTCATCTTATTTTCGCTCTAAGTTGGGTGATTTTAGGACAATAGGGTCTTAAGTAGTCTCTGACTTGATTATTAGGCTTAGATTGAGTAAAACGACATAGTTTTGAGTTAAAATAATTACAGAAAGGACCAAACCCTTTAAAAATAACATTCGGCCACCATTGATGTGGATACCTACAATCCGTTGGTCAGAACAGGGACCATCCTGGTCGACTGTTGATGGTCTTAGAGACTAGTTCTCTAGGAGTTCAAATAGTGGTACCACATACGGTCTGTGGGCCCATCAATGGGACATGGATCTCGACTACGGTCTTGACTTTTGACCCCATAATTTTTCTAGTTTTGGGACTCATATATGAGACTTATCTACGACTCTTAGATCACTCAACCTAATTATCCATCTATCATTGGAATCAGAAGAAGTTGGTCCGTCCAACGTCTCTGACCTTGTTAAAAGAAGATTTCATTTTTCCCTCTGCGAGAAAAAGATCTCGAACATCGTAGAAAAAGTCTTAACTAACCAGTCAAGTGAAGGATCCTGCGTACCCACTCCAATTTCCCCTATTGTTGGTTTGACTTGATATGTCATGTCAAGAAGACTACATAGTAGATTATCTTTTTCTTAGCTTAATAGTAGATGACCTTTTGTTTTTCTAAGTATTGAAAGTTTAAAATTTTGGAAAATTAGGACTGAACAACACAGGCCTACCAATGGACCTTGTGTCAGAACACAGACAGACGGTGGCTTCCGTTTGTTCTAGCACCATATTTTATAAAGCTACATTTTTTTCCATCTTTTAGAATTTTAGGTGTTACAATATCTCCCCATTAGGAACATTTATTCTCAAATGAAGTTTAAATAAGCTATGTTTGGAGGAAAATAGTTTCAATTCCTGCCAAAGGAGTACTAAAAACAAATAGTTAGCTGAACCGAGTTATATAAATTATGCAAATATGCTGAAATGCAATGGTAAATGAGGGAACAAGATATTGATATTGAATTACACAAGAGTAAACTGAGAGACTGGAGAGGAACTATTACCTCAATCTCAAATAGATTCAGAAGGAAAGAAGTGAAGACACTCGACCATCATGGTTGCTTCTGTTTTCCAAGTAGCTCCCTCTATGGACTCACTCCTCCACAAAACATTTACTAAGAGGCTTACTTATTTCTCAACCTACAAACATGACTGTCAAGAATCTCAGGTGAAATTTCCTCATAGGTGAGGCTATCCTTCATAATCTCTAAAGGTATTATTGATTTCGTATCGTTCATGCACTTCTTCAACAATGAAATGTAATAGACTAGATGAACCGTTGCTAGTTCTATTGTCTTCTATAACTCATAAACCACATTACCAACCCTTTTCAGGATTCATTAAGGACCTACATACCTAGGATTGATCTTCTATTTCTTGCCGAATCTTATCACCCTTTTCATAGTTGACATCATCAAGAAAAGCCAATCATTTTTTCAAACTCGAACACCCTTATCCTCACGTCTACATATGAATTTTGAGGACTCTGAGCTGTCTTTAGTCTAAATCTAATGAGTTGAACTTTATCCATAGCCTTATGAACCTAATTTGTACCAATCAAGGCTACTTCACCTATTTCGAACCAACCAACTGTAGATCTGCATCTACGCCCATACAATGACTCATAAAGAGCTATCTAAATAGTGGAACGAAAGTTGTTTCTATAGGCAAACTATATCAGATATAGGTGATCATCTCAATTACCTTTGAAAACGATCACACAAGCTCTCAACTTGTCCTATAATTTTTAAATGGTATGCTCTACCTGACTATTTGTCTGTGGATGAAATGTTATACTGATATTTACCTAGTACCAAGATATTTCTAAAATAACTTCTAGAAATGGGATGTAAAATGATGACCTTTATATAAGATAATGGACAATGGAACCCCATGTAAACCTACTATCTCATTGATGTAGAATTTGGTGTAGTCCTCTTCTAAATATGTAGTCTAGACAACCAAAAGGTGAGCTTACTTAGTAACTTTGTCCACTATCACCCAAATGGAGTCATGTTTTCTGTGAGTATCACGTAAAACTGCAATGAAATCCATGTTTATCACTTTCCACTTCCATGTAGGAATGCAAATCTCTTGAGTTACACCTCTTGGTTTCCAATATTCTACTTTAACATGTTGACAGTTAAGACACTTAACAATGATATTTGCGGTTTCCCTCTTTATACCATTTCACCAATATGAGAATCTGAAGAACTAACAGAATTATAGGGATCGAATGTGTGAAAGGAGTCCACTAGTGAAATCCTGCATACCTATTGACAAAAACTATGGAGAAATCCTTTGGATTTTGGGACAGAACTTCGAAGAACACTTCTTCTTGTTTTGGGAGAATCGGTCGACTCTTCCTCTTCTTATCACTCTAAGTTTTGTAATTTTATGATCCGGTTGACTTTGTCAAGAAATGTGGCATTCAACATCGTGAAGGAGAAGACTACATCCGATCTGTTGAAGGCACTGTCAAACATGTATGAAAAACCATCGGCGATAAACAAGGTATTTTTGATGCGTAGATTGTTCAATTTACAGATGTCTGAGAATAGATCTGTTTCTGATCTTATAAACGAGTTCAATATGATTGTGAGTCAACTCAATTCTGTGGATATTAATTTCAAAGATGAAATTAAGGCGTTGATTTTGATGTCATCTCTGCCCGAGTCTTGGGATATTGTTGTTGCTGCAATTAGCAGTTCCCGTGGATCTGAGAAACTGAAGTTTGATGAAATCCATGATGTTGTTCTTAGCGAAAGTATTCACAAATGAGCAGTGGCAGATTCATCGGGCAGTGCTCTCAAAATTGACTGAAGGGGAAAAAGTAAGACGAAAGTCCTAAATCAACATAGTCCATCAAAATCAAAGAATCGAGGAAAATCTCCGAGCAGATCAAACGTGACTTGTTGGAACTGTGGAGAAAAGGTCACTTTTGGACGAGTTGTACAAAGCCAAAGAAGAAACA